ACCTTGCAAGGTGGTTATTGTGCCTCAATCACGCCGCATTGTACAGTACTCACGGATTGAAACAGGACAATTTAAGACTATGTGACACTCGTACTTTCGTTTCCACTGTCTTCGATTAGGGTCGTATCTCCATAATTTTGACTGGGCCAAGTAGATGAAAGTCAGCATTAACTTTACAGACCAGGTTCATCATGACATAATGTGGTTATCACGAGTTACTGCTCTTACCTGTCATTTTACTAAGAAAATTGATGTCGCGTTTGACTGCTTGAGTATTGTACATATATTACTTATCTTGTGTCTCGTCCTTGTAGAGCCAGGTTGTACGAGACGGACACGTCTTTTCAGTGAAAACGTCTACTTTATTCTGACAACCGGAGAGTCAAAAATAGACCAGGTGCACACAGTGCACCGGAAGTGGCAAGAGTGAAAGAGACGAAGGAGAAACAGAGAAGAGAGTAGCACATTGCTTGGATTGCTGCTCCGTGGGTTTTCATTACCGCAGGTTGCACGCTGGCAGCCACGTCGCTACAGATTGCTCCCTCCTTAGAGATGAAGCTGGTGTGATGAACGATTCTCAGTTGAAGTCTGATCCCAGTGAACGCGGCGCATAGGTGCTGACGGGACGAACACTGGCAAGGAGTGGCGCTCGTGTCCAGTGGAAGGAGGCACGGTGAGGCAATTAAGATCGGGCGCTTCACTGAGCGCTGGCTTCAGCCGCTCGAGCATTTATGTCGACGACGAAGTTAGCTGGCCAGTGCTCTAACACACGGAAGGGGCCGAGGTAGTGTGGTTGAAGCGGGGTGCGCACAGGGCCGTACTGCATGAACACGTGTGTCGCCGTTTTTAGGTCCTGAGCAATGTACACAGCACGTGGCTGGCTGCGTGTAGGTTGTGTCGAATGTGTCGAAACACGTCGCGCAGCTGGTCGACGTATTCTGTTGCTGTTAGCTGGATGGCACTGCCACTTTCTTCAAAGAAATCGGCAGGCAGGTGAAGCGAAGTGACATAAACAAGCTCGGAAGTGGAGCAGGAGAGGTCCTCCTTGAAAGAAGATTGAATTCCGAGTACCGTGAGTGGGAGGTGGCCAACCCACCTGTCGGGGCAACGGTGTGCTGTGAGTGTTGCTTTAAAGTGCCGGTGGAATCTCTCGATAAGACCGTTTGTTTGCGGTGGTATGACGCTGTACACAGGCGTGAAATACCAAGAAGTTCCAGGAGCTCCGAAAAGAGGGAAGATCTGAACTGGCGACCCCGGTCCGATACAATCGTCGGACAGCCAAATTGGTATATTCAGGTAGAAACAAAAGCCGCTGCGACGGTAGCTGGCATAGGAATCGCTTTGGGCTAGCAGGTGAAACGATCTACACATGGGAGGCAGAAGGTAGCGATAGCCTTGACATGGGGGTAACGGGCCAACGATGTCAATATGTACTACAGCGAAATGTTCGTCGGGTTGTAAGAAGGGCTTTGATAGAGGAACGGGGTACCATTGAACTTTGGCGCGCTGACACGATGCACACTCACGAACACAATCCCTGATGTTGGTGTTCGTGCCACGCAAGAGAAAGCGTGAAGAAACAAGCTTTTGGGGAAGCGGGAATTCCGGGGTGAGGAAGGCTGTGATAGGTGTTGAATATTTTCTTACGGAAAGGGTTGGTTAGAAATTGTCTGGGTGTGCCTGTGGAGGTGTCACAAATAATTGGCACATCTTCATAGGTGACAGGTTCGAGCTGAAGTGATGTGGACGCTTCGCATAGGCGTCCAAGCTCAGTGTCTTTTGATTGGGCTGCAGCCAGATCCTTGAGTTTGAAGGGAAAGGATGTTGAGGTGAAGGTTTTGGAGTGACTGCGGGTGATGGCATCCACGCAACTGAGAGCGTCAGCTGGAGCCTTGTCAACACCGCTGATGTGGCGTATATCAGTTGAAAACTCCGAGATGGAGGCAAGCTGGCGCACCTAGCACGGTGTGTATAGCGAGTCACATTGGCCGATTGAATAGGTGAGAGGTTTTTGATCAGTTAAAATTGAAAAAGAGCTGAAGTATGGCCCCAAGTGCAGAACAGAATGCATCCTTCATGAGCGCCAAGGGGTAACTGGGATTGTGGTGCATCAGCAGTGTGGCTTCAGCCAATGCGTTCTTGATGGAGTTGAAAGCTTCTTCCGCAGCGGTGTTCCATGGTAGTGCAGTTTCCGAGGGTTTGCCACAGAGCAAATTGTCGAGGCACTCCAACAGCATAGCACAGTTCCTAATGAATCGGCGGTAGAAATTTACAAGCCCTAGAAACTGGCGCAGCTTCGTTATTGATGTAGGCTTGGGGAACTGAACGATTGCTTGCACTTTGTCAGCAAGGGGGCTAATTCCACTACTGTCCAAGTGAGGACCCAGAAAATCAAGAGATAACACTCCGAACTCACTTTTTGAAGTGTTCACAACGATTTCCTTGGCTGACAGGCGCTCGAAAAGTTGACGGAGATGTTGCAAGTGCTCCTCGTGGGATGAGCTTGCCACCAGCAGGTCATCGACGTAGGCGAACACAAACGGCAGAACGCGTATCACCATGTCAACGAACTGCTGGGACATTTGTACAGCATTGTGGAGGCCGAATGGCATTCTCATGAACTCAAAAAGGCCAAATAGGGAGGTAATTGCCGTCTTTGGAACATCTTCTGCAGCAACAGGAATTTGGTGAAAGGCTTTGACTAAATCGATATTAGAGGACACTGTTGTGCCTTGTAGATGTGAAATCCTGAATGTTAGACAGGGGATACTGGTCTGAAATAGTTTCTGTGTTCAGGGAACAGTAGTCTTCGGAGGGTCTCCAGTCACTTGACTTTTTTGGGACGAGGTGGAGAGGAGATGCCCAGCTGCTCGATGATGGTCGTAATATTCCGAGTTCCAACATGTGTTCAAACTCGGCCCAGGCTACTTTCAGCTTATTTGGAGCAAGTCTCCGTGGGCAAGTGCAAACAGGTGGACCAGTGGTGATGATGATATGGTGGCGGACATCATGTTGCACGGGTTTTGTCTAGTCAAGTGGTTACGTGATGTTTGGGAATTCTCGAAGAAGTCCTGCAAAATGGTTATCGGCCACTGTTGTAGTTGGGGCGATTATGTTCAAATCATGGGAAACAACACCATGGACAGAGAGCGGTGTAGCAGTGTCTAGCAGGCGTTGCCGTTTCATGTCGACCAGATGTCCATGGTGGTTTAAGAAGTCGGCACCAATGAGGGCACGGCGTACGTCAGCGACGAGGAAAATCCATTGAAACACGCGGTGCTTGTCTAGGTTCAGAGTGAGCGACTGCGATTTGTATACAGGGATCTTGCCACTATTAACAGCTTGTAGGTAGGAGATCGAGGGTATTGTTTGGTCGGATTTCTGAGCCAGAATAATGCTGACCTCCGCACCAGTGTCCAGGTACTGCTGGCCTGTGATTTTGTCCATGATGTGAAACAGGCGACTTTTGGGTTGGCCTTGACCAGTCATCGCCGTCAATAGTCGACCTGCCTGTTTCCCTGATACAAGCAAGGTTGGAGGCAGTGACGCGCATCCTGTCCAAAATGGGGATGGTAATAGCAACCCAGGGGGGAGGGGGGGACGACATCGAGAGTGTTGTGCGTGCCCATAACGCGGGAAGTTTCGGCTGCGGTTTCGGTGACATGGAGCGGTGTAATGACACTCCGCGGCACAAACCAGTTGTTTTAGGGTATCGCAAAGCACGTGGATGGGAAAAGCATGGTCAGATAATGTTTGTGGAGCAGCACTCGCATTGTTGAATGATGCCGTGACCTCCAAGACCTTGTCCACCAGGCTGGCCAAACTGTTGAGGTCCAACGTGGACGCAGTGGCTTGTACCATTTGCACATTGCCAGGAACGCGCTGCAGAAATAGTTCTCGCAACAAGTTCTAGTCAGTAGTAATGGTGTAGCTGCTCATGAATTGGCGCATATGACGAAGAAGCTGGCTGGGTCGGCGGTCGCCCGATTCCTCCGTGGAGAGCAACTGCTGTATGCGGGAACGCTGTGATGCCATCGTTCGCTCCAGCAGGGCAGCCTTGAGAGTGCTGTACGGTGTGGTGGAGGGGGGTCCGGAAAGCAGGTCAGATACTCCTTCGGCAGCAGCTGGTGACAGTGCCGAAACAACAATATGGTACTTGCGTTGTGCCGAACGCACGCCAAAAAGCACGAATTGTGACTCAGTTTCAATGAACCAGATTGAAGGGTTGGGTTCCCAGTAAGCTTGCAGTCAGAAGGAGATCGCAGAGACGTCATGATCGGTCGTGCTAATAGCTTCTGTGTTTAGGGGTGTCTCGTTGCTCTCCATGACTCTACAATACTTCGGCAGTGCCGCGAAGGACTACGGGTCACTACTTTGTAGAGCCTGGTTGTATGAGACGTACACGTCTTTTCAGTAACAACGTCTACTTTATTTTGGCAACCAGAGAGTCGAAAATAGACCAGGTGCATGCAGTGCACCGGAAGTGGCAAGGGTGAAAGAGATGAAGGAGAAACAGAAGAGAGCAGTACGTTGCTTGGAATGATGCTCCGCAGGTTTTTATGACCGCGGGACGTGCGGTGGCGGCCGCGTCGCTACACCCTCTTGTACACTGACAGCCCCTTGCAGCATAAGCCTCATTGTGGAATTTTTGTGGTGATATTTTGACACTACACATTCAGTATTATTTTTTCTTTTTTGCAGAAGGCATATGCCATCTTCCTTGCAGTAGTGTTTTCAGAAACTGTTTTGATACATGCTGGGTCAATTAGGTTTTTTCCATTCATTGTTAAGTAGAATCCCAATTTAAATTATAGCACCTAATTATTGAGAGGGAGAGCTGCTCACATTTAATTGCACTGGGTGTGCATGTGCACTTTCTCTGTACTAAATGCTTGCTTTATGTTTTGCTTACTTGATACTAAACTATCTTGAGCTATTATGGTTACTATGACAGATGGTATATATGTGCACTTCTTTTTTTTATCTTAATGGCGACTTAGATTACACTAAGCCGGACCATGAGAGCACTGGTGTGTCTTCGGGGCCTTATCATTGAATGGGTGCTGGTGAAGGCATTCAATGAAGACTTCTATACTGATGACGACCAGGTATTGTTTGTTTATGTGATACATGCATTTCGGTTATATTACCGCGATAGTGTTAAATAGCTCGTTTCACAGAAATTCCGGCATCTGTGTCGCCATCGTTGGTTGTGAGCCAAAAACTATCATCTTATTCTTGACCGAAAAATCGAGAAAGATGCAGATGAAATGAATAATAAAACTTTCCGGTTCCGAGTGAGGGTCGAACCCGGATCGTTTGCGTGGCAAATAGGTGTTCTATCACACAACCACTCGTCTGCTTGTAAATACGGTGAAAATAGCTTTCTCTGCTTGGAAATTAAGTGAAAGTAACTTTTATGTTTTACAAACATATGCGTCCTGTATACAGGATTGACATCACAATATGTAATATTGCATTAATATTGCGTGGTACCGGCGTACATTGCCATCAGGTGTCATAACAGGTGATTATCCTAACTGCCTTGTGGTTTGAAACCGGCCACCCATTTCAAAAGGCACACCCATGATAGTGCGTATTTCGTTAAGACGACCCACAAAGGTGCATAGCAAGCTCGAAAACATTTTACGTGCATAATTACTTGTTGTTTAAAGCATGCTACTCGCTACACAGAATGCAGCGATATTCGAGAACTTCACTTACACAAGCCACTCTAAACTTTATTAATTACATTGTAGTAATCTGAAATTTGGGCTTCTTGAGTACCATCATACAATAAAAAGTATGCACCAAGTGGTTCGCACTAGGGACAGGATAATGCTATCACGTTGAACTCTTAAAGGCAACTCTTAAGGGTCTCGCAAGTTTTAAACTTACTGGTGTGGATGGGCCAAACAGTCACGCAAGAAAATATTGTGTTTCTGCGAGGCAAAGTTCAAATCATATACAGGAGCATCAACTGACAACCAAGCTTGCTAAAGGGTGCTCGACATAGCAGCAACTTGGCTAGGCCATGCCTTCATTTCTGGATGTATTTTTTTCAGGTGATGCATCTAAAATTGGGGTTGGTATTGGTAGGAATATAGTATTGAATGAGTGCTCACGGATGGAAACACAACAAAAAGGCATATATAGTTAAATTACTGATATGCACAATTTCTCGACATGACCGGGCCATGCTGCTATGAGTCTTGCCATTGAAGACAGCATTGGCTCTATAAATTGTCATGTTTTGATCCATCAGCACAGTACAGCGGTTTGAATCTAAGTCTAAGTAAACAGTATAAAGATTGGTCGTCGTCCTGCATGATACAGAATAGGGTATTACTGATGAGATGCAAACACATTTATCTAGTTAGAGACTGATCGTGAGTTTTATGATCTTGATAGCTCTATTGCATGTTTTCGAACTTTGCAAACTTCAAGGCTTCACAGTTAATGAGAGTGTGATGTCGTTACATAAAACACGCTTTTTAGGACCATAGTACGAGTTGGATTCTATAAATTAATGTGGGTGGAGTGAACAAGGTCTCACACACAGATATTACCTGGCCAACAATTCTGCCTCGCTAATTTCTGTACAAATATGCTTGACCACATATGCACCGAAAAGCTCAAAATTTTCCAGCTTCCTAGAGTTCAGAATCCACCTCTTGTTGTTCTCAATAATGCATGTTTAATGTACAGTTTCATGGGAAAAACTTCGAAATATTGGGAAAAAGATGTGTAAATTGTTTAATGCATATTGGTGATGATGAAGCTCTATATTATTCGTTAATTATTAAAATTTATTAAATTTGATTGTCTTCTAGTAATGCTTGATCTATATTCAATTTTTTTGGCATTGTTTGTTACATAACCCTATTCTGTCTCAAAAACTTCGTTCACACGGCGGAAAAATTTTACCTTGTTATCCCCGTTAAACACAAAGAGAACATAAACGCAGCAGCGTGCAAGCACTACCAGTTTAGTTGTACGCATATTCTCATTGAGAAAGATCATCTTTCGATTATGCTTTGACCCCAAGAAAGGGAGCTGAAGTCTTTCTATATCTCATTTGCAAAAAGGAAATAGTTGCACTCATGTGGGACGAATGACAAATGTTGTGCGTAATGTATTTAAAGAATGCAGGTAAAGTGAATCATACGTGTGTATAAAGAACACTGGATAGGAGTTGCATTTTTTTGTCAAACTGGGCCCAAATTTCGCTGGCACTGGCCAGCAAGCTAGGTACTTTTGGTAATGGCATTCACTGTAATTCGTTTCTACGTATTTAAAAAGTAGTTGATTTAATGTTTCTTTCAAAACATCAAGCTGGTGGCATAAATAATTAGTTATCTGGCCCTTCTCAGTGACTGCATAAGAACATGGCTGACCAAGGTGCTATCATACTACATGGTATTTTTTGCATAATATCAAGTTGATAAGACATCCTACACATTTCGAGTGATGGAATATGGTTTGGTGAACTCTCACCAAAGCACACATGAAGGTGTGTTTTGGTAAAATAGCGGGGGGGGGGGGGGGGGTATGAAGCTGTTGTACTTCCTGGTCCTGGGTGGGTCAAACAACGACGATTTGCAGACTTCTTAATTTAACTGTCAAAGCTTTGTGTTTTTCAGTATTAAGAAGAGAGCATAATTTTTGGGCAGCTGCACTGTTGCGCCATTTTGAGGCTAGCTTTGCCTGGTTCATAAGTTTGAGACGCTGAAATTGTGGTGCAAAAAGAAAAAGGTGTGCATTTTGAACATTTGTAGGTTGACAGCCTTGATTGTGTGAAAAGTGTGTTTGCTGTGATATATGGAACCCCTCTATAACTGCAGGTTCTCTTATAGTATTTTGACTATGCAGAACACTACATAATTGATATAAAATGATCCAGATTTGCCTGTGCATGCATTTGAGTTCTCATTTTGTTTTGAACTTGTTATGCTTGAAAAAGCTGATGCAATGAAAATATATTTACTTGTTTGCAGTGAATCTTAGGGTGGTTCAATCATAAGTTTTTTTTAGAACATAAGTATTTAGGGATTAAAAAAAGTTATGAAATTCTTGTTCTACAAAACCAAGTGCTTGAGGTACTTTTGTGCTCTCATTAAACACAGCTGTTCGGAGTGGTGTGAAAACTGCTTTTCTTGTATGCGTTTATTACACGTTATTCATTGTTGCAGCTTGACATGTGGTCGAAGTCTCGGTACCGAGTTTTTCATAAGGTGGGTACACTACTTTTTCAACTATCCTTCTGTGTTTGTTCGAATATGAAGAAAATAAAAGTAGATAGATATTTTATAGCAAAATCTGTTATCAGATTGCAACACAGGTGATGCACGGTGCCGTAGTTGTCTGCTGCCGCCACCGGTATCTGTAACCACTATCGCAGGAAATGTGAAAAAAAAAACTCACCTAAAAAACACCCAAGATACAATGGGATTCAAACTCAGGTCGCCTGTGTGCCAGCCCAGTATTCTACCTCTGAGCCACGCCGGTGTTTGGGACTCGTTCCCATACTTGCCTTAGGCAGCCTTGATGTCGGGAAAGGAATCGCGTTAATGAGAGTAATAAAGCGTTTTAGAACAGCTAAGGAACACTCACGTGTCACATGATGCGAATTGCACAAAGAGTGCGTCGTCGAGTGCGTTTTCACAAAAGCTCGATCTTCTTCACATATTAACTGTGGCACATACCTACTGTGGGGGATTGTAAGGATTGCAAAAGCTTCTTCCATAATTCATTGTCGTCAAGCACAGCACAAAACAAAATTGTACAAAGTTCCTTGCAAGTGTAGAATAGGTACCACGCTTCTCTGAAGAATGATGAATAGCACAGTGAATGACTGCCTACTACACAAGGTTTAATGGCACAGTAGGTACCCTGAAAGTGTGCGTGATAGTTACCTAAAGAGTGTTTAAGAAAGGCTCTGGAAGGCTGCTCTTCTAGCTTTCGCTGTCAGTGCTGAGTGTTCCACACAGGCCTGACGGTTTTTTTGTTGTAAAAGTTTGGTGCTGGCATATACATGTATATAAGAATAGCTAGATTTATACCAGTCAAATTCATAATAAGGTGATGAGTTGCGCCGTAGTGTAAGATTATAGATCATTTCCAACTACCTGAGGATAATTAACGGCCACCTTAATTGGCAGTCATCAGTTCGATTTTTTATTTTCTTCTACATTGTTGTGAGGCGACACCAATCATATGACACACGAGCTCGTTTGAACAAAACATGCTTGAGATAGTCCCTTGTCTCATACTGAGCCTGATGAATTTCCTTGCTGTTATGAGGCTCGCCTGTTAGCATTTCTTCTAAGTATACCAATTCCTATATGCACTCCAGTGTATGGTTTTCAATTCTGAACTGTTTTTCTTTTACCAGTCATAGAACATTTTGTATTGCATAGAAGTAATAGGGAACATTTTTACTTGAGCAAGCAGTTTTATATTGAAAAAGAAAAGAAAACTGAGCAAGAACTGCACAATTAAGGATCTTACGTAAAGGCAGCTACACTCCGCGACAACTTTTTTTGGCACTGAAGGAAAGCTACGGAGGCCGAGCTTCTGCACATGTAGCACCACGCGAAGTAGTCTGTCTTGGCGTGCGTTTCATAATGCTGTAGAAAGTGACGGAGGTGCACCATCAGCGTTTCATGTAGGCGCAGACGCCGCTTAGCGCTTGAGGTGCACGTAAAAAGGCGGGACTTTCTCACGTGTTCAAAAAGGCGAAGTCACAACAGTTAAATTAAAAATATTATGGCAATCTTACTGGTATTGAGCTGCGTCCTGTCTCAAATAGCTCCAAGTGGAAAATAAAAAAAGAAAAATTTCTATTTCACATTGAAAATATGGGCGCTACTTTGGAACCACATTCACTGGCGTTGGGATGCACGTGATTTGGCTCCGTAGCTTTCCCTTCTGTGCCAAGAAAGTTGTCACAGAGTATAGGCATATTCTAAATTTCAATGCTTGCAGGGTAAGTGTTGTTTTTCTCCACATTTGTGGGTGCACTAACTTTCACTGGATTTTGGCAATTTTGACAAGAGATGCATCGGCATTGATGGACACGAACAATTTCGGCCACATTTCAATCAGTGTGCGCATTTTGTGTTTGGAATTGCAAACAGGGGAAACGCACTCCATACATGGTTGTTTTAAAGACCGATGTATTTTCACTATAAAAAAGCACCCTGTCAAGTGCACAATAACAGGGTTGCAACAGCTGCGCTAATTGTGCCAATTTGAGATAATTCCCAATTTTTACGCCAAGCAACACCAAAACCATGAAACTTGCTGAAATTGCACCATGCTACGCCAAAATGCTGAGCCAACCTCAAAATTTTTTCAGTTGAGCTATTTTCAGCAAAAAATAGAGGCTAAATTGCCTATCTGCGGTTTGTGTCATCAATGAATTCATCCATGCAGACTCTAACCTTAAACAGCGGTAACCTTAATTTCATTAGGTCAAGGCACTCGTGAGATGTGATCGACCAGCTTAAGTAGCAAAACCGTGGGCCCATCGGTCCGCTGACTGCAGTGGATACCTAACGGTGGGACGGCGCAACTTCAAGAAATGTGTTGCCGTGGCCACCAACGTTTTGTGGGATATATGATCTTCCTAGTTGGCAAAAGCAGCAACTGGCATGTTAGCTGGGAGCACATACCGTGTTTTCCGTGCATGAACAGAGACGACGTGCTGCCAACGCCGTCATTGCCGATGACCACGTTGGTTGTCATAGCAATGACACATAAAAGATTTTTCATCTTGAAGTTGCGTTATTTGCATTGTCCCTGCAAAAGATATCTGGTGCTGTTGCCGGATCAAAGGCCATGTGTCGTTACTTTATCTGGTAGAACGTACGTGCCTTGCAAGCAAGCCGACATGTTGTGCCCTAAACCTAACCCCAACCGTAAAAAAAAAAAGGAAAGGGGAGGGGGGCTGCGTAGTGGTGTTAAAAAATTTCTTGGCTTTGTTTCAACTGCTGCAAAACGCTGCTTAAACCACCTTCGTTGCAGTACACTGGTACCCTGTGAAAAAGTATACTGCCGCATAATGGTGAGCAATAGTATGATCGCCGACATCTGAAAAAAGTTCTGGTAATCATTTGGAGCAGTGCATGACACTTCTGCCCCCCTTTAAAAAAATACGAAGACACTGTGCAGCAGTTTTTTTTTCGCCACCCCTACTCCTCAGTTTCACAAATCCCTTGAATTTCAAGGTCGCTGTCTTGGCAGATCTACATTTGAATTCACAGATTCTGTCAAAGGATTTGACAGATACAACTAGTGCTAAATTGGACTTTATCATTGTTTGCTCAGTTGGGTGGCTCAAAATATTAGTTTCATTGAAACATCAGTGCTCAGTGTTTACTCTGCATTATTTAGGTCATGTTCAGGGGTGAGACAGTTGCACATATTGCGCATTTTTGATACATTTTCGTTTTCCTGCACCAAGCTGCTTCAAAAGCATAAAAATCGCGAAAATTGCACCAAACTGCTCCTGAACAGCCTCGAAAGCTGGAATTTCGATGCCAACCATAGCTTCAGCGGAAAAAAAGGCTGAGTTGAATAATAAGACGCGCCCAAGCTTGTTCTTCTTACTTTGCACCTTTCTGGTCATGAAGGCTCCCAAGGTGCCGTTCTAATCTAATCTAAACTGTTGTAAATATGCGTGACCCTGCAAAAATGTTGCTGTGCATCGAGGGTGCTGCTTCTAATAGATGTGCTGTGTGTTCTAGTGGGTGCCACTTTCACCTAGCAAAAACCACCGAGTTAAATGGCAAGCGTAGCGGGGTTGACGTTCGGGTTTTGTTGTGGGTAGTGCATTCCTCTGGGCGCTGCGGTTTTCATGTCAACGCTGCTGTGTGCGGTCACCTACGCGTGCACGTTTGCCGTGAGCGAGTAACTGTAAAGGCCCAACCACATGCACACGATTTTTTAGCACCAGCAACAAGCGGCAGCGACAAACTTGCTCCGTCGCGATGGCTGCAACTGCATGTTCGCGCCGAATGTCATTGTTGTTTGAATGAAAACTATCGTGTGCCATATCAAGATATTGCAAAAAAAAATTAAAAGTTGGTTGATGACAACATGACAGATTTATTGCTGTCTTATGTGGCATATGCAGTCTTTGGTTTCACCAGGACAGTGCCCAGAGGTGTACGCTACAATGGCTATGACGCACTTTGCATGACGATTTCACGTTGGAGCAAGCGAACACACTTGTAACAAGGTACCATAAAAACATCAAAACAAACCTTCGATAAAAAGATTTACGACAAAATATGACCACTCTCTCACTCCACGTGAAATACAAATGTAAAAAAGATAGTCGATACTTTGAGTTCCTTGAAGTATGTGCAGATAACAAACATCGAGAGCAAATTGCAACCGAAGCGAGGAACAGGGGCGCAGCCATGTTGCTGGAAATTGCCACGCTGGCTTCCGGGTGACACACGATCTTTTCAGTTTTCCAGAAACGCGTGACATGACAAGTGGCTGCAATGGATTGGCCTCCGCGACAGGAATATCCTGTCGCTGTTGCTAAAAAATCGCTTGCATGCGGTTTGGTCTTAAACGGGGAGTCATTTCCCTTCATGCAACGAGTCTCCTGGATGCTCTGCCGTGTGCACATGGGTTCTCGAAATAGATTCCGTAAGCGACAGAACGTGTGCAACTCATTTGCATTTTAGGTTCATTAGCTGCTAAATAATTTACACAATCGATTTCTTATTGCATTTTCATACCTGCCGAGTTGCCCGGGAGACTCCCGGATTTCGACTGTTTCTTTCAATTCTATGGTTGTCATGAAAATTTTCTGAAAATCAAAATTTCTGTGCGTGATCTGGCTGTATTGACAAAAATGCAGGTCAATCCCTTCTAGGCTTTTTGTGAACCTACCGCACTTTATTATAAACAAATGTAAGAGGCGTTCATCGAAACGTACAGTAGAATCTCTGTGATGTGATACCGCTGCAGATATGAATTCATGAAATTCTCTAGCCGAATTCCACTGTCTCCATTGGGTCACAATTCAAATGTTTCAAACAAATTTACTAATCACAGTAGGCGATATGAACCTCAGTACCGAAGCCAGTTGCGCCATTCCATCCATTCCTATGTGTCCCAGGAAAATCTACGCGAGTTATTTTGAGTAAAACAGATTTTGCTAGTTGTTTTGACGACGCGAAATTTCGGGACTGTTTGCGCTGCCTCATTAAGA